ATGGTTGGTGTAGCCTAGTTGGCCTCCTGCACCACGGGGTGGGGGACATTTTTGTCCTCCCCGGGCTCTGGACATTTTCTTCGAGCCTCCAGGAGGGTGAAAACGGCCTCCCCAGGCTCCAGAGGCCCTCTGGAGGCCAGAAACTAACCCGTTTCCAGCCTTTCCAAACTTCCGGTAGGCCCATTTTTCGCCCTTCCCAAGTCTCCAGGCGTGCCACATGGGAACTCTGGGGAGGGGGCGGGGCCAGCCAGGAGTGGGATTTGGGGGTTCTCCAAACTGCACAGAATCTTAGCTAGAGGTTCTCCTGAGCCACCGCGAACCTCCAGCAGCCCAGCCCTGATCACGGAGGATACAAGCCATGATCAGGTGTGATTGACTTTGCCTTAAGTGTTTGGAGTGAACATGCCTTCAAAAGCATTGAAGTAAATGAAACGATCAGATCGTTATCTTGTCTGGTTAGGTCAGGGGTGTCAAACGGCATCACAGCATCATGTGATGTATCGGGGCTCTTCATTGCTAAACTGGGTGTGGGTGTGGCCAGTGCGTTATACATCCGGCCCGCAGGCCAGGAGTTTAACCCAGGCTAAGCCCTGGGTTAGATGATTGCGTGACCACCAGGACAAAATCTGGAAGAAAGCAATGACAGTGTCATAATACAGGTAGCCCTTGATTTAAAACACTTCATTTAGTGACCATTCAAACTTACATCACTGAAAAAAGTGACTTATGATTGTTTTTCACACATACAACCATTGCAGCATTCCCCATGGCCATCTAATCAAAATTCGGACGCTTGGCAACTGGCTCATATTTATGACGGTCAAAGTGTCCCTGAATCATGCGATCCCCTTTTGCGACTTTCTGACAACCAAAGTCAATGGGAAGCCAGACTCGCTTGATAATCGTCTTAACTACCTTAACAACTGTGAAGATTCATTTAACAACTGTGGCAAGAAAGGTCATAAGGTGGGGCAAAATTTACTTTGTTGTCTCCCTTAGCAACAGAAATTTGGAGCTCTATTGTGGTCATAAGTTGAGGACTACTTGTACTGGAAAAAAATTGTCGGGAGTGCAACTTGATGGTATCTTCCCTTTAACACTTCGGGAATCATTTTCAAAGTCTTACACTGTAGGTAATCCTCAACTTAACAACCAAAATTGAGCCTAAAATTTCCATTGCTAAGTAAGAGAATTATTAAGTGAATTTTGCCCCATTTTTCTTGCCACAGTTGTTAAGTCAAATCACTGCAGTAGTTAAGTTAGTCACATGGTTGTTAAGTGAATCCGGCTTCCCCCATTTGAGTTTGCTCGTCAAAGGGTCGAAAAAAGGGGATCGCATGACCCCAGGACAGTGCAACGGTCGTAAAAGTGTGAAAAATGATCCAAAGTCACTTTTTTCAATGCTGTTGTAACTTGAAATAGGTACGAAACAAATGGTTGTAACTCAAGGACTAACTGTATTGGGCTCAGCCAAGGAATGTGCAGACTAGAACGATGGATGTCTAACTACACACTAACCCTTCTGCCCATTAACCCTCCAGTGTTTTTTCTTCTCTGAAAATTGTGTAGGAAGGGAAGACGAGGAGATCAATGACCTTCGGAGTTTGTCCTGAGACTGTGACTCTCAGCCTGTGGTCTGCGGACTTCTGGGGTGGGTGGGGGCACGATGTCACCGGGGGTCCACGAAGGTTTAAAGAAATGTTATGATTTAAATCTTGAGTTAAGTCTTGGGGGCCAATTGTTAGGCCGTGTCAAATGTTTCAGCTTTCAGTTTCCAAACAAATGGGTTGCTCATAAGTTGTGATGAACATACCTTGGGGATTGTAAAGATATTTTGGTTACTTTAATATAATTTAGATGTGCTTGGTAAGTCACTAACATAACATTCGCTCAGAGTCATCGTGGAATCCAGTGGTCTGAACCTTGACATATTAAGTTAAATTAAATGATAGTTACAAACACTCAAACTCTACCCACAGAGACACAGCATACCCCCCCACCCCCCGGAGCATTCTTTGGCCTTATTTAAACATAATTCCAATAGCTATTGTGGTTGGGGAGAACAAGAGCTTGCCAGCTGGGGAATTTTGGGAATTTTAAGGTCCATACATCTTAAAAGTGACCAAATTTGGGGGAAAAACCAGCACTTTAATCCACCCAGGAAAAACCACTGCCTACAGCCCTACTTCAGCCAGAATTGTACCCCAAAATTTGGGAGTGCCCAATCCTGAACTACTAACCTCATCTCTTGTCCCAGTTGCTGAAATCCTGCAGAAAATAAAGTTTTGGCACTTTTGTTTCCTAAAAACAAACATATATATTATATATAGTTATAGGTGCCAGGAATAGGGAGGATCCAGTCACGATTCTGTTCCAAACTATAGCCTGGAAAATAAATTTAAATTAAAAAAAAAAAAACACCTGTATTTGTTGCAGAAAAAAAAAAACACAATTTCCTAGCAGCGACACGTAACTTTTATTCTCTTTACTCTTTATTGATTAGTTACGCAGAACAGAGTTGAATGTTCTCCGGTGTTAAATCTAATGATAATCTCCTCCAATGTTTATTCTCGGCAGCTGCCCGAAAGGCAAAACGTTTTTGAGCACTTTAATCCTTTGGCTGACCTCTTTTAATGGGATCAAAGTTTACACAGAGGTAGATTTTATATTTAAAGTCGTGGTATCCATAAGCAAAGGAACTAGGCTGGGCTCGTTTTAGGCTCTCGCTCAGGAGGATTAAAGCGGCCATGCTGTTGGATTAGTGACCCAGTTTTGCATCCTTACGCGTGATCCATATGCAATTGCTTCCTACCCACCTGCTCCTATCATCCAGAACAATTTTGTTGTGCCGCTGATTTTACAAAACAAACAAATGGGATAAGTCCGGGCTGGGTTTATGGACTTGCTAACTAATTAGGTCTGCCCTGAATTTCAGATAGTGAAGAGGGGCAGGAAGAAGAATTGAGGGGGGTCCTAGAGGAAGGTGACCAATCTCACCATAGCTTTGGTCGTCTGGTAGTACAAGTAGTCCTTGATTTACGACAACAATCAAGCCCAAAAATTCTGTTCCTAAGCAAGAGAGTTATAAAGTGAGCGTCCCCCCCTTTTTTTTACGACTTTTCTTGTCACAGTTTTTAAGTGGATCACCACAGTTGTTAAATGATAGATAGATAGATGATAAAGATAGATAGATATATAGATGGATGATATAAATATTAAAATACATATATAAGATGATATAGATAAATATAAAGATAGATGGATGGATGATATAAATATAAAAATACATATATAAGATGATATAGATAGATAGATAGATAGATAGATAGATAGATAGATAGATGATAGATAGATAAATAGATAGATGGATGATATAAATATAAAAATACCTATATAAGATGATATAGATAAATATAAAGACAGCTAGATAGCTAGATGGATGATACAGATAAATATAAAAATACATATAATGATATAGATAAATATAGATAGATAGATGGATGGATGATGGATGGGTGATAGGTAGAGATAATAGACAGACGATAAAGTATAAAAATATAATGATATAGAGATTAGATAAATAGTAGATATGATATAGAGATAGAAAGAAAGAGAGAAAGAAAGAAAGAAAGAAAGAAAGAAAGAAAGAAAGAAAGAAAGAAAGAAAGAAGAATAAAAAAGAGAAAGAATTATTCATTGGCCAAGTGTGATTGGACAGACAAGGAATTAGTCTCTAGTGCATAAGTCCACGGTGTACATATAAACAGCACGTAATGGGTCATAGGTCATAAATCATAGTTACATACTATCGTGGTTGTTAAGTGAATCTGCCTTCCTCATTGACTTTGCTTGTCAGAAGGTCGCAAAAGGGGATCATGTAACTCCGGGAGACTGCAACTGTCATAAAAGTGAGTCAATTGCCAAGCGTTTGAATTTTTATCACATGACCATGGGGATGTCGCAATGGTTGTGTGAAAAACAGTCATGTCCCTTTTTTCAGTGCCGTTGTGTACCTTCGAACAGTCACTAAATGACTTCTCGTAAGTCAAGGACCACCTGTACCTGCATGACGGCCTATTAGGAGACTCCCAGCTACACAGGGAAAGGGATGGGAGGAGGTGAAGTAGATAGAAAGAACGGGAGGAAAAAATAGCAAAGGAGGAGAGGAGAGGAAGAAGATGGAGGAGGAGGAGCAACAGCAGTAAGCAGAGCTTGGTGATTTCCTTGAGGACGTTTCATTACCAAACTTGGTAACATCATCAATGCAAGAAGGGAGTGGGGTTCATGGAGAGGAGAAAACAGAAAAGTAGAGGAAGATGGAGGAAGAGGAGCAGCAGAAAGAGGAAGAGAAGGAGAACGACTGTGGGATCCTTGGTGCTCTCTGAGCTTGGTTGTTTTCTTACAAACATTTCATTACCAAACTTGGTAACGTCATCAATGTTAGAAGGGAGTATTCAAAACAAGTATCAGACTAAAAAGCTTCAAATAGCCTATGAATGAAACATTCAATTTAGTTTTTAGTTTATGTCTATAGTTTGTTTTTAAACTATGTGGAGTTAAGGACCAAGGGAGAATTTGGAGTCTATAAAATGTTAGCACATTTTAGTTTATGATTGTTAAATGCTATACCCTGTATTTGCTCTGGGAAGTCCGGGGAGGGGAGTGGGGGGAGGGGGGAGGAGGGGTGGGTGGGTGGGAAGGAGGCGGGGAGAAAATGTTTGTATCTTTGATAAAACTTTTTAATAAAAAAAAATGTTAGAAGGGAGTGGGATTCACAGAGGAGGAAGAGGAGGGGATAGAGAAGATGAAAATAGGAAAAGGAGACGAAAATAAGAAATATAAGGAAAAAGAAGGCAGAAGACAGGAAGAAGATAGATGAGGAAAAGACCACTTTTGGAAAAGTCCATGAAGACGCCAGATGTTGAGCTCAACTTGGGGGGGAAAAAAATAGAACCTTGACTTTTTAAGATGCATGACAGTCTCTAAAGCAAAGAGGCCACTGATAATTCACTTTATTTATTGAATTGTTCAACTCATGCTCTGCCCAATATTTGGACGGCAACCCCAGAAAATCCCAAGCTTGTAGGCTAAACAGGAAAAACGTGCCAGAAAAGCTACATGAGTGGGTGTATCAAGTCACAGAATCCTAAGTAGAGAATGGACAAGCCCATTTTCAACCTGTTTTTTTGGGTTGTGCTTAAAAGGAGGATGTAAGAGTTTTGGCATAAAAGGTCTCTACATTTTCAAGGCTTTTCATACAAATATAAAATTTTTCTTTCAAAGGAAACGGGCACATTGAGATTTCCTAATATGTCCCCTCTCACCTTGTGGATGTGCGGACAGATAGTCCTCAACTTACATCAGTTTATTTAGTGACTGTTTGAAGTTTCAACAGCACTGGAAAAAGCGACTTATGACCGTTTTTCACACTTAAGACCACTGCAGCATCCCCATGGTCACGTGATCAAAATTTGGACCCTTGGCAACTGACTTGTAATTCTGACGGTTGTGGTGACCTGGAGGCCACGTGATCCTATTTTTGTGACCTTCGAGGCTGGCTTCTGACAAGCAATGAGGGAGCCAGATTCGCTTAACAACCACGTTTCACTTACCAATTGCAGTGATTTGCTTAGGGTTGTAAAATGGGGGGCACAACGCGCTGAACAATCGTTGTGCTTAGCAACAGAAATCCCAGGCTAAATTGTGATCGTAACTCGAGGACTCCCATGGATGGGGCTTCGCTTGTTTTCACAGCCCGGTTTCTAACATGCTGTGGCGTGGACCCATGCCAGTTTACGGACTACGAGTTGGGGACCCCTGATTAAACCACGGTTTGCTATGGGCACAGTGTTGCCGAAAACTGGAAGGAACTTCCAGGTTTCGGCATAGCCGCTGCAAAAGACGTCCGTGTGTCTGCGGGACACAGGTAAGGACCATCCATGTGGCTGTGCTGCCAAGCACCTGAAGTGAGATCCTATGGAAGGGGGAAACCATGAGGAACTTCAGAACCGAACCCTGGTTCTGGGTAGGTTGTAAGTTCGAACGTTCGCTAAGCAAATGGTTGTAAATTGAGGACTGGTCTGTATTATATCTTCGAGAGCATAATTATTATCTGTTCCCTCCATCACCAAATGTAGACTAAATTCCTGAGGTTGTTTTTTGACTAGTCTTCACGCTATGCTTGAACAGTCCTTATTAACCTACACCAGGGATGCGTGCACAAATACTAACACAGCTGAAGCATGGCAATTCGCTTTGCTGCGCCAATTAGCTGAGAAGATAAAGGTAAATAAAGCGCAGGGCCGGGTGGGTGGGCCAACCTGATATTTGGAGCGAACCGGTTCGCTCCCAGATGATCGTCAGAGCTACCAGTTCGCCGGTCCTTCGCTGTTTCCAAGGTGGCCCCGCTGGCCCGATCTAAACACCCCACAGGCCAGATCTGGCCCCCAGGTCTTGAGTTTGACATTACCGACCTACACTGACCACTGATTTCCTCTTAGATTGACAGGGCCGGAGGGAGCTTTTGAGAGAGGGTAGATCCTGACTGGTGGTGGGTTGCCCCTGGTTCGGACCGGTTCACAAGAACCGGTAGTAAAACCGGTGGAAGGCCCTGCCCACCACCCCGGATGTCGTCATCAGCGATCTGCGCATGTGCAGAAGCTTCTGCACATGCAGAGAAGCAAGACACTTGCGCGAGCAAAGCAATCGCATGTACGCGATCCCGTTGCGAACCGGTAGTAAACGTAAGTAGAATCCACCCCGATCTTGGCGCATCCTGGTTCTAAAACATCTAGTCACAACTTCCTGCTTCATTTTGATACGGTAGCCCTCGACTTACGACCACGACTGAGCCCAAAATTTCTGTTGCTAAGCGAGGCATTTGTTGTGCCCCGTTTTACGACCTTCCTTGCCACAGCTGTGAAATGAACCACTCGAGTTGTTCAGTTAGTCACACAGTTGTTAAGTGAATCTGGCTTCCCCATTGGTTCTGCTTGTCAGGAGGTCGGAAAAGGGGATCGCATGACCTCAGCGACACCGCAACCGTCATAAATATGAGTCAGTTGCCAAGCATCTGCATTTTGATCCCGTGATCACGGGGATGCTGCAATGGCCATATAAGCGTGAAAAATGGTCCGTTGGTCACTTTTTTTCAACACCATTGTAGCTTTGAACGGTCCCTAAATGAACCGTGGACTACCTGTAATTGCAAACGGGAGTTGCATGATTCAGGAAGCAGAACTGAAATCAAGTTTTATCCAGGCCCCTGCAAAAATGTCCTGAGGACCAGATGTTTTAAAATCCCCTCATCTTTGACCATTAGCCATGTTACATGATAGGGATATAGGGCAGTGTTTCCCAACTTTGGCCGCTGGACGATGTGTGGACTTCAACTCCCAGAATTCCCCAGCCAGCAGAGCTGGCTGGGGAATTCTGGGAGTTGAAGTCCACACATCGTCCAGTGGCCAAGGTTGAGAAACACTGATATAGGGATTGGGCAAAGAAACACTGCCAAGAAAACAGCCAGATAAAGAGGCCACACAGCTGCATAATGCACAGAAGAGAAAGAGGCCCAAAAGGGACCCAAAAAAAGACAGCGGGAGATTTGCACTTTCATACTCACAAGATTCTGTCAATGTACTTTTCGATAAAGTAGAATCAGATCATCCCACAAGACCTGACATATTGGCTAGAAATGACAGGTAGTAGGAACCATCTTACCTCTTAAATAACAGGGTCACTGAGCTGAGACTCTTAACCGAAATTATATATGCTTGTGTGTCTTTCCACCCAAAACATTCCTTTTGTGCATCTTACACAAATCCAGCAAATTTATATAACCTCTCTTATTTTTTTTGCACAATTTTTGTTAGGTGGAGGTGGTAAATTACTTGGGAGAATGAAGCGGTCAACATGTATAAACTACAGAAATGAAACTAGTTAGGAACTAATTTCTAACTCCCATTTCTTCTGAAAGTATCTTGGCAACTAGAAAGTTGGTGCCCTCTGTATCTCCCTCCACGAGGACAGAAATTCACAATGACACAGGTTCTATTCCTCCTAGCGCTACCTTTTGTGTACCTGGAGAACACACACAAAATTAGTCCTATGAATTAGCACACATACACACACAGCAAAACACGCTGCTTTAAGCCCCTGAAGACTGCAAAAAGCAGGATCCTATGATTTGTTTTTCAAATGTGCATCTCCAGACATGTTTACAGGCAGTCCTCATTTAGCGACCATAATTTGCCGGTTGCTACGTGAAACAACTGCCACGTAAAATCACGACTGTGCTTACGATCTTCCTTTCCGCTTTCCTTTGATTTACAAACCTGTATAAAGGTCATGAATGGAAGACTGGTCTCAAACAAAGTTACTGTTTCATTTTCCCCGTCGTTAACTACGAAGGGTCACTAAAAGAGACAGCCGTTCAGCGAGGACGTCCCTTCCTGCCATTCTGAGCTTTCCACCGGCCTGTAACTCCAGTTCTTCTTGCCAAACCTGCCTTGTCACTCCATCTGAGTTAGGTGAATATTCGGTGTCTCGCGACTGTGGATTTTCTGATGTCGCCGGAGGTATTTCTTCAAACGGAATTGCTTCCCGCAAATGAAACATTTCTGGTCTCCCTCACTCAAGTGCAACTTTTGGTGCTTGACCAGGTATTTTCTTTGCGTGAAAAGTTTCCCACATTTGGTACAGTTGCAAGGTCCCATCTGGAGGTGAATCATCCGGTGTCGGAAAAGATTGGTCTTCTGGTTGAAGGTTTTCTCACACTCGGGACATTGGTACGGCGCTTCCCGTGTGTGGATTCTTTGGTGCCGGATTAAATTGGATCTCCGGCTGAAGCTCTTCCCACACTCGGTGCATTTGAACGGGTCGCTCAGATGCATCCGTTGGTGTCGGAGGAGTTGCCGGTTCATGCGAAAGCTTTCCCCGCACTTGGCACACTTATACGAACCTTCCATAGTGTGGATTTTATGGTGCCGGGTGAGATTGGACTTCTGATTGAATTCCTTGTTGCAAACAGGGCAGGGGAAAGTTTTCTCCGCTTTCGGCTCCTCCAGGATGGTGGGGATATTTTTCTGGGATTTGGCAAAGCCCCCGTCCTGTTTTACAAACACGGAGGTAGGGCACCTTTGGAGGAAAATTGAAGGTGGATCAACGTTTTCCCCACATTCTGAATCCAGGGGAGGATTTGCATTGGCTTCCTTTTTGATCCTTTGAGACAGAAACGGGACAGGGTTTTGGCACAGCGCCCACTCATATTCAGGGTGCTCTAAGCCTTCCTCTTTGATGCTGATTTGGGACCCACCCGCTAAGCAACTGGCATGTATTTCAATATTCTCTGCTTCCTCCTCTGGTTGAAATTCCAGAGGAAAATTGGAATATCTCTTTGGTGAGTGTTTTTGCTCGGTTGTGTCCAGGGATTTTTTCCCACTGAGACTTTCCAAATGTAGAGCCAGGTCTTCTTCCATAGAGAGATTCCATTCTGGACTCATCTCTATTTCCTTTTTATTCTGAATTCCCCAGGAATTTTTAACCATCTTTGGATTTCCTGCAGCTTCCCAAGCGTCTCTCTCTTCTGATGCCATCTGCACCTGAGTTTTGGGCATCTCCTAAGAAAACTCCTGTTTGCTGTGTGTTGTTTGGAACCGAATTAACCGGTTGGTTCCATCAACTGGTGGTACCCTTTTCTCTCCAGGGCCATGCATAGAAATCAACTTCCTGGGAAGAAAAGTGTAACGATGAGGCTTATTTTTTCCCCCTGAGCAAGCCTGATTAACATTTCCTCAATATCCTTTTCATCGTGTTTGAAGAATGCACAGTCCGGCCTTTTATAAATTTTTGAAATTTGACCTTGAACTCAGAGTAAAGGAAGACTTAATGGCTCACTTTTCAAGACAGACAATTCTTTGAACAGAGATGCTGGCATATGTGCTGCATAGTGGAACAATTTTTCCTCTGGAAGGTATTTTGATAAATTTGCAGATTATCTCTCAATGGCAAAAATCTTGTTATATTTGTCACTTGACATGCAATTCTTAATTTAACTTTCTTTTCTTTTCTTTCCTCTTTCTTTCCTTCCTTCCTTTCTTTCCTACCTTCCTTCTTTCCCTCTTTCTCTCTCTCTCCCTCTTTCTCTCTCTCTCTCTCTCTCTCTCTCTTTTTTTTTTTTGAGAAATGAAACAAAGTTTGTGCAAGTTTGTTCAAATGAATCTTTTCTTTCGACTTCAGCTCGGGTTTTTTATTGACATGTTCATTCTTCCACTACGATAGAAGAAGCACTGTTGTAATCAATGTAATTGATATTCTAATTCTCATGAACTTCCTTGGATGATATTCTTAGCCTTTACCTGTTTGATTGAAGAAAACAAACAAACAAACAAATATATCTTAAGGGGATTGCAAAATATCTGCAGCTTTTCTTCTTTTTTTCCATCTTATTTTAATTCTCTCCCTGCGTTTTCTTTTGTATAAAATTACATCTGGGTACCAAACCTGGTTACGGTTTAACCAGCCAATTGTGGCTTATTTGGGGATAGAATCACAATTTAGCTGGAAGATGTTTGATTTCCAAACAGAAAGGGGGAGAAACATCTGGCAAAAGTCCCGTGGGAGTTGGTCAAACAATGGCAGCGACAGCTAAGTAGTCCTTGATTTATGACCACAATTGAGCAATTGCTAAGCAAGACAATTGTTAAGTGAGTTTTTTGCTTCATTTTAGGACCTTTCTTGCCACAGTTGTTAAGTGAATCTGGCTCCCCCATTGACTTTGTTTGTCGGGGGGGGATCGCAAAAGGGAATCACGTGACCCCCGGAGACAGCAACCGTCATAAATATGAGTCAGTTGCAAAGCTTCCAAATTTTGATCACATGACTCTGGGGATGCTGTAACAGTCGTAATGGTAAAAAATAATCATATATATATATATATATATTTTCAATAGTCATCAACTTAGGACCACAACTGTGCCTAACATTTCTGTTGCTAAATGAGATATTTGCTAAATGAGTTTTGCACCATTTCATGACCTCTTTTGCCACCGTTGTTATGTGAATCAGTGCAGTTGTTCAGTAAGCAACATGGTTGTTAAGTGAATCTGGTTTCCCCGTTGAATTTGCGTGTCAGAAGGTCACAAAAGGGGATCACATTGACCCTGGGACACTGCAATCGTCATAAATATGAGTCACTTGCCAAGCGTCTGAATTTTGGTCATGTGACCATGGGGATGCTGGAATGTTTGTAAGAGTGGGAAAGGGTCATAAGTCACTTTTCCCAATGCCATTTCAACTTTGAATGGTCACTTATGAATCGTTGTAAGTCGAGAACCAGCTACCGTGTTTCCCCGAAAATAAAACCCTGTCTTATATATTTTTGAACCCTGAAATAAGCGCTTGGCCTTATTGCCATGCGCTCAAAAGCCTGATTGGGCTTATTATCAGGGGAGGTCTTATTTTGGGGAAAACAGGGTATACATTATTGAATCACTGGGGCTGCCAACTTTTTTATTTATTTATTTGTTTGTTTGTTTCCATTTCTATACCGCCCTTCTCCAATAGACTCAGGGTGGTGAACAGCCAAAGTAAAAAACAGAACATACAAAATTTAAAAGCAGTTTAAAATAATTAAATATTTTGGCCGTAAATTAAAACAACCCAATTTAAAATCAATTTAAAATTTAACTCAAGCCAGCCCAGCTAGTTGAAATAAATAGGTTTTCAGGGCCCGACGAAAAATCCGGAGGTCTGTTATTGTACGTATCTCTGGGGGGAGGTTGTTCCAGAGGGTGGGCGCCGCCACAGAGAAGGCTCTCCCCCTGGGGATCGCCAGCCAACATTGTCTGGCGGACGGCACCCTGAGGAGTCCCTCTCTGTGCGAGCGTACTGGCCGGTGGGAGGCTATTGGTGGCAGAAGGGGGTCTCGTAAATACCCCGGCCTAAGCCATGGAGCGCTTTAAAGGTGGTCACCAACACCTTGAAGCGCACCCGGAAGACCTCCGGGAGCCAGTGCAGCTCGCGCAGGAGAGGTGTCACATGGGAGCGCCTCGTCGCCCCCATAATCCCCTGTGCGGCCGCGTTCTGGACCAGCTGGAGCTTCCGGGTGCACCCCAGGGGGAGCCCCATGTAGAGAGCGTTGCAGTAGTCCAGGCGGGAAGTGACGAGTGCCTGAGTGACTGTACATAGGGAGTCCTTTGACTTCCTTGTAGATGTCCCCATATGGTTCAGCCTAGGAACTGACCAAATACCTCCTAAAATTAATGCCAACCATATTTCCCATGATCCTTCAAAAAAAAATCTGACTTAAGTGTTGGTGAAGCCTGATGGACGTGGCCTTAGTTAATGGGGAAGGAAGGAGTGACCCATTGAGGAAGGGGGATTGAAAAAGAGTTTAGATGTTGGGCGGGGGGAGTTCCCTTGGTGAATCCAGTAAAGTTATAAAAGTAGTCCTCAACTTACAGCAGTTTGCTTAGTGACCAAAGTTACAGCAGCACTGAAAAAAGTGACTTACAACCGTTTTTCAGAGTTACGACATTTGCAGCATCCCCATGGTCTCGTGATCAAAATGTGAATGCTTGGCAACTGACTCATATTTATGACGGTTGCAGTGTCCCGGGATTACGTGATCTCTTTTTAGCGACCTTCTGGCAAGCAAAGTCAATGGGGAAGACAGAATTAGTAACCAAGTTACTAATTTATCAACTGCAGTCATTCGCTTAACAACGAAGGCACCAAAGGTTGTAAAATGGGGCAAAATTCAGTTAACAAATGTCTCACTTTAACTAGAGAAATTTGGGGTTCAGTTGTGGATGTAAGTCGAGGACGACCTGTATACTTTCCGTGCATTTTCAAAACAAGTTAAAATAGGTTGTTTCCGCTTCCTGTTATGGTTTTTGTGCCTGTTAATATCCTACATCTTATCAGACGTTAATAATACAACATCAAATTAAGTGGGGAGATTAATTAAAATGCTTTCCTGGGTTGGGTGGTGGGTATAATTAATGCAAAGAAAAGCAAACAAAAAACAACAACCCCAAAAAGCCAATTAAAAACTGGTCTGGAAGGCTGGAAACCTTAATCAGGTAGTCCTTGATTTACAACCACAATTGAGCCCAATATTGCTGTTGCTAAGTGAGACATTTATGAAGTGAGTTTGACCCCATTTTACGACTTTCCTTGCTGCAGTTGTTAAGTGAATCTGGCTTCCTCACCGACTTTGCTTGGCAGAAAGTTGCGAAAGCTGATCACGTGATCCCGGGACACTGCAACCGTCATAAATATGAGTCAGTTGCCAAGCCTCTGAATTTTGATCATGTGACCATGGGGATGCTGCACTGGCCATAAGTGTGAAAAATGGTCATAAGTCACTTTTTAAAGTGACAGTCACTAAATGAACTGTTGTACGTCAAGGACTATCTGTATGGACTTTTTGTAAAAGAAAAAAAAGGAAGGATGTCATGATTTTTGGATTTGAAGTTTGACAAAAACATAGATTAAATGAAGGAGATGTATAATATTCATAAGGAAGGAGGAACAATTCAATTCTAATGATCTGTTGAAAAAGAAGACTGGAAGTGCTCCATATATTTCTTAATATTTATCTCTCTGATTCCTTCCCTCCCTCCCTTCTCTTTTATTCTATGAAAACTTTCTTAGTTAATACAGATTAAAAGGAGAAAAACATGAGGTGTTAAACCAACTCACAGCTGTTTTGCCCAGCAAAGGCGTTTTGCAATGGCTTCAATGCAGCCTTGACTACTGCCAGGGACTGCCCTTGAAGACATGATGGAAACTGTTATCTGGGTCAGCCTAAGCGCCTAAGTAGCGCCTTCAGATCCTATCGCTCCAAATGTTTGAGATGTGCCCACTTTCAGCAGAGATACACTGCCCCAGATGTTAGATGGGTGCCCTTTCCCAATATCTCCAACCCTCAACCCCATTGGTTTCGACAGATTCACACAACCTGCAAAACCCCAGAGTTAACTTGACACATTGGCCGCATTCACCCAGCTGAGCAAGCCCCAACTCGTAGCTTTTTTTGGCCTGTCACCGCATGCCAAGCTAATGCCCGCGTTCGTTCCCACCACTGGCGGAATCCCGCGTTGGCTTCGTTGGGCGTCTCGTGTGAACGCGCCATAATTGAATCCCGTCCAAGTGGGAATCGCGGATGGTGATGATGATTGGTGATGATGATGACGGGGGAAATGGCTTCATCAAAGGGTTTTGAAAGGGGGAGAGGCGAATGCAATGCACTCGGGACGCGGGGTGGGTAGGAGAAGGACGTGGAAACGGCCTTACCGAGCTCTCGTTTGCAATCCTTCTGGTCTGAGCTCCCGTTTGCAAAAGGCTTGAGATGACCGACAGGAGGGCAGGAGGCCCCCGCAGGAAAAGCGCTGAGACCCCCGGGGCAGGGAAGCTGAATTAAACAAAGGAAAGGCAACTTTTGCCCCGGGTAGGACCAGGGATGGGTGATCCTGTCGTCAAGATTTGTACAAAGGGCGTCCCTGGGAAAGGAAAGGGGTGTCTCCCTTTGGAATCTGGCTCCCCCCACCCCCCGGAAATCGCCTTCTCCAGAAACACGGTGGCATGCCAGGACATGGGCATGGGCTCGGGGGCCGCAAGGCTTCCTGGGAATTGTAGTTCTTGTCCTCAACGACCCTCGCCGGCCCCCCAACTTCCCAAAGAAAGAGAAGAAGCTCTGCGTTGGAAGAATCTTCACTCGCGTCTCCAAGCGTGAGAAATTGAGGCTATGCGCTAAAGCCAATCTGGTTAATTCGTCTCGGAATATGCTGCGTCCAGGTTGAGTCGCCACGATGTCCAAAAAAAAAAAAAAGACAAACCCCAGATGTTGAGACTCTAGAAAGAGCGCAGAGAAGAGCCACGAGGATGATTAGGGAGGATGGAGGGTAAAACGTATAAAGAACGGTTGCTGGAATTGGGTACTTCTATTCTAGCGAAAAGGGGTGACATCAGGGCAGTGGTGGAAATCCAAGTTTTTTTACTACTGGTTCTGTGGGAGTGGCTTGGTGGGCGTGGTATGGCTTGGTGGGCGTGGCAGGGGAAGGATACTGCAAAATCTCCATTCCCACCCCACTCGCGGGCCAGCCAGAGGTGGTATTTGCCAGTTCAACGAACTACTCAACATTTCCACTACTGGTTCCTCTGAGCTCAAAATTTCCGCTACCTGTTCTCCAGAACCTGTCAGAACCTGCTGGATTTCACCCCTGCATCCAGGGTGAAATCCAAAATTTTTCCCTACCAGATCTGTGGGCGTGGCTTGGTGGGCATGGCAGGGGAAGGATATTGCAAAATCCCCATTCCCATCCCCATTACCAATTACCCATTACCAGCCAGAGGTGTTATTTGGTGGTATTTGCCGGTTCTCCAAACTGCTCAAAATTTCCGCTACCGGTTCTCCAGAACCTGTCAGAACCTGCTGGATTTCACCCCTGGGTGACATGATAGCAGTCTCCCAGTATTTGAGGGGCTGCCATAAAGAAGAGGGGGTCCATCTATTCTCCAAACCACATGAGGGTAGTACAAGAAGCAAGGGATGGAAACTAACCAAAGACCTAGAACTAAGGAGAAACTTCCTGACAGTTAGAACAATTAATCGGTGGAACAACTTGGCTCCAGAAGTTGTGGGAGCTCCATCAATGGAGGTTTTAAAGAAGAGATTGGACAACTATTTACCTAAATGGTCTAGGCTTTCCTGCCTGAGCAAAGGGTTGGACTAGAAGACCTCCAAGGTCCCTTCCAACTCTGTTGTTCTGTTAAGACAAGTAAGGGGATGAAAGCTTGTGACATTTCTGGCATTCAGTTCAGGATACTAGTCCTCAGGAGTCACTATGTTACAGCTGCACTTCAGCATTATTTCTTTGTAACCTGCAGAATTCAAAATCCTGATTAACACCGTGGCTGAGCTGCAGGTTAGTCTGAGGTGTGAGCCCACCTTCAGCCAGGTATCCTACCTAGGCTGTTTCGAATTAGTTCTTCTTAGCCAAGCCTACCTCACAAGGGTGTTCAGAAGATAACCGAAAGGATATCAGACCAGCTCAGATCATTATTTCTCCCCAGCCGTAAACAAACCGCCCCGAAGTTAATCTAAACTGGAAATTGGTGGCGTTAAACAAGACAGGAGACTAAATAGAAAGTTGTAGTCTTCAACTTACAACAATTCATTTAGTGACTGTTTCGAAATGACAACAACACTGAACAAAAGTGATTTATGACTGTTTTTCACGTGACTCTTGCAGAATCCTCACAGTCTTGTAATCAAAACTCAGACGCATGACAACTGGCTCGCATTTATGACGGATGCAGTGTCCCAGGGTCATAGGATCCCCTCTTGCGACTTTCTGACAAGCAAAGTTAATAGGGAAGACAGATTCCCTTAACCACCATGTTACTAATTTAACAATTGCATTGATTCACTTAACAACTGTGGCAGGAAAGTTCGTAAAATTGGCCATTACTCACTTAAGAACTGTCTCGCTTATCAACAGAAAATTTTTGTGGTCGTAAGTTGAGGACTACCTGTACAGAATATGACAGTTTTGCATATTCCATATTTTGAATATGCAAAATGAATATCAAAATAATCAATCCGATTCTTACTCACACGATGCTTTTAAGAAAATTAAAAGAGGCCTCTTCGGTTTGCTACGACGGTGTTTACGTCTGTTAATATTCTTATAATCTCACCAGAAGGTTAAGCAGTGCTGCATGTCATTAAAGAGGGAGATGAATTAAAATGCTTTCCTGGCATAAGGAGACGTGAATAACACGATGGAAAACATTGATCCTGAACCGTGTGCCTTTAAGTATCAAATACATTTGTGGGAAATAATGAGGCATTCAATCGGAATAGAGTTGGAAGGGACCTTGGAAATCTTCCAGACCAATGATGACTAACCTTTTTGCCATCGCGTGCCAAAAGCGGGGGAAGTGTGGGGGGGTCACATGCACGTGTATCCACATGCATAATTCTATGTCCCATCCCCGTGCATGTGTGTGCGACCCTCCCACGCTTCTCATGCTTTTGGCATGTGATGGCCTGGTAGGCCCATTTTTTTTTGCCCTCCCCAGGCTCCAGAGCCTTTCTAGGAGTCTGGGGAGGGCAAAAACAGCCTTCCCCACACACCCCCAGAAGCCCTCTGGAGGCTGGAAATGGCCTGTTTGCTGACTTCCACTGGGCCCAGAAGGCCCGAAAATCAGTGGAGCTGAGCTCATGTGCCCACCGATATGGCTCCGTGTGCCACGTGTGGCACGCGTGCCATAGGTTCGCCATCACGGTTCTAGACCCTATACCAGTGTTGGCGAACCTTTTTGGTACTGAGTGCCAAACCAGGAGCATGCGTGCATGCCGGAAACCGGAAGAGCAGCTGCCCGATGCGCACGCACATGGTGGGAAGATGATCTTCCGGTTTCCAGCGCACACATGCACACTGGCCACCTGATCTTCCGGTTTCTGGCATGCATGCGCATGTGAAGACCAGCTGGTCGGTGTGTGTGTGCATGCCAGAAACCAGAATATCATCTTCCTAGTGTGCGCAAGTGCTCCCGCGTGCATGAAGACTAGCTGGCCGGCATGTGGGAAGAGCAACAGGCGACGCCTGGAGAGATAGCTCTGCATGCCACTTCTGGCACGCGTGCCATAGGTTCACCATCACGGCATAACATTTCAGACAGGTGGCTGCCCAGTCCTTTCTTAAAAACTTCCAGTGATGGAGCACCTACAACTTCTGGAGGCAATCTGTTCTGCTGGTTAATTGTTCTCACTGTCAGGAAATTCTCTCCTTAGTTCTAAGTTGCTTCTCTCCTTGATGAGTTTCCATCGATTGCTTCTTGTCCTGCTTTCAGGTGATTTGGAGAATAGGTTGGCCCCCTCTTCTTTGTGGCAGCCCTTCAAAGATTGGACTACTGCTATCATGTTCCACCTAAATCCTTCTTTTGTCCAGAGCAATTGTACTCAGTTCCTGCAACTATTCTTCATTTGTTTTAGCCTCCAGTCCTTTAATCATCCAAGTTGCTCTTTAATCATCCTGGTTAATTGAAGTTACGAAATCCATGACTAAGTTTTGAGGCCCCTTTTTGGAAGAGAGGATAGAGGACTCCATCTCACACAGTTTTTATACGTCCTTTGGCTAATGTAAAACTATGTTTATCGGAGAGCCCTTTCTTTTCATACGCTGCACAGTTTTGAAACTGCATTAAGGCCTGGGTTTTTGTTTTGTTTTTTTGCTTTTCATCTCTGTGAAGAGTGTTAGTAGAGCTTTCAGCCTTTCTGGAGACTGGCTGTAAGAATCAGAAAAACCTGGGAAGAAATTTTAAGACATGAAAGAGATTGTTAGGATGTGGAGTGGCAAAAAGACAACAAACAGAATATTCGTTCCCTAATTTGGAGCGGATAACAAAGGCTGCCCATATAGCAGCCAGAGATTGTGATAGGAGCACGCAAGGCAGACAGAGGCAGACACAACCTCAACCTCAACACAATTGCCAAGCCGTTTTTAGGGTGGGAGGGTGGGGGAGAGACGGAAAGAAATGTGTTGTGCAGGCGAACTGCTGCTTGTTTATTTGTTTGAATTTTGGAATGTAACACAAGAAAGAAAATTCAAGGAAAAATAAGAAAAAAGGGAATATAGAAAATGAGGAAAAAAGGAAAGAAATTAAAGAAAAGAAGGGGAGTGGAGAGGGAAAGGAGAGGAGGAAAGGAAAGAAGGAAAGGAAAGGAAAGAAGGAAAGGAAAGAAGGAAAGAAATTAAAGAAAAGAAGGGGAGTGGAGAGAAAGGAGAGAGGAAAGGAAAGAAGAAAGGAAAGGAAAAGGAAAGGAAAGAAGGAAAGGAAAAGAAAGAAGGAAAGGAAAGGAAAAGAGGAAAGGAAAGGAGGAAAGGAAAGGAAAAGAAAGGAAAGGAAAGAAGGAAAGGAAAGGAAGAGTATGGGAGGAAAACAAGAAAAGAAAGGAAAGGGGAAGGAAAGGAGAAAATAGAAAGGAAGAGAGTAGGTAGAAAAAAGGAAAGGAAAGGAGACATGAAGAGAAAAAGGAAAGTATGGGAGGAAAACATGAAAAGAAAGGAAAGGGGAAGAAGGTGAAGGAAAGGAGAAAATAGAAGAGAAGAGAATGGGAAGAAAAGAAAGGAAAGGGAAAGGAAAAAGATTTATGGTTTCCTTCTTCCTTTCTATCTATCAAGTAGTTACCATCTTCACTCCTACTTTAACCCCTTTTTAGTCTCCAAATCCACAAATTTAGTTAAAGTCATAAATTTATTTAATTATTTTCTTTTCCCAAGAAGTCCATAGAGGTAGTCCTTGGTTAATGACAGCAATAGGGAATTTCTCTCGCTAAGCAATGTAAAATGCAATGTCACATGACCACATCATGTAGCGACGGCAATGCTGGCAGTCCCTATTGCTGTTGTTAGGTGAGGATTGTGGGTCGTTAAGGGAGAACCCCTTTAGCGCTTCCTGCTGGCTTCCAACATGCAAAGTCAGTGGGGAAGCCGAAGGGAAATCTTAAATCCTGGGTGGTTTGCAAGAAGACTGGGATGGATTAGGGTAAGAACAGCTGGCCTGGAGGTTACTACCACAACAGTTGTAAGTGTGAGTATGTTTATCAAGCACCCAAATCTTAATCACATGACTTCAGGTCATTATAATGGCTGGAACGTCGAGGATTTTGCC